CAGTCAGGGAGGCCCTGTTACCAGGGAGCCATAGGGGGGCCCTGTCCTGGGGCAGGCGGGGAGGCCCTGTTACCAGGAAGATGTGGGGGGCCCTGTCCCAGGGCAGGCAGGGGGGCCCTGTCACTAGGGAGCCATGGGGGGCCCTGTCAGGGAATCCTCTCTTGGAGGGGCCCATGTGGGGAGGGGTGGGGCCCTGTTACTTGGGCCCCCTACCCACCGCCCGCCTGGCACCCGCCCACCAGCACAGACGTTGCTGGGGCCAGTCAGCGCACTGGGGGGTTTCCCGGCGCTGCTGGCCAAAGGGCTGTATGGCCCAGGCTCACGCTGTCTGTCCCCTGCAGACTGGCAGGTTTCCCAGCATCTGCAGCAGGCGTCCCGAGCGCACGAGGCAGAGAGCAGCCGCCTCTCCCAGCAAGTCAGCACCAAGGGGGCCACCCTGGAGCAGACGGCGAGGGAGCTGGAGCAGGCGAGGCGGGAGCTGGAGCAGGCGAGGCGGGAGCTGGAGCAGATGTGGCTGAAGGAGAACAGCACACAGGAGCAGCTGCGACTGCTGGAGGCCGCGTTAGAGGGATCGAAGGAGGAGCTGGCGAGGGTACAGGAGGAGAAGACAGAAATTAAAGAGAAGCTGAACCAGACGGAGAACGCCCTGTCCAGCATCCGCCCCTGCGAGCAGACAGGTACTGCCTTCCCGGGGCGAGGGTCACTGGGGTGCCCCACCCCCTGGCAGGGACAGCCGAGCCCTGGTGGGGAGGAGGGGGAGCACCCAGCGCCAGGGCCATACCGCAGCAAGCGGCTCTGGTCATTCAGGAGGGGCAGCTCTTCCCCCAGGCCGCGCTGGCCCCCAGGTCTGCATGGTGCAGGGGAGTGTGTGTGTGTTGAGGGGAGCGGGGGGGGGGAGGGGAACTGCTGGAGACGAGACAGGAAACCCCGGGTGGTGGGCACTGGCCGGTTCCATGGAATAAGAATTGGGACGTGAACTCGCTGTCCTAGCCCAGTTCCCACTGGCTCCCCTAAATCCCTCTGCTGTTTCAGCTGTTAAACACGCTGCATCCCACCCCAGAGGTGGCTGCATTTCAGGGGTGCGTGAAGCAAGGCCTACATGTGGCTGGTCTAACGGTTTATGTGTAGGACCAAGCTAGGGCCTTGGAGAAAAGGTGCTGGCTAAATACAAACTATGAACATGATCATTAGTCAGCCGAGATCCCACGAGTCAGTCTGGCTCAGAGCTAACAGAGTGCTCCTCCTCCACCACTGAGCTCCGCTTGCACAACCCCCCCTGCTCTCCCTGACCCCCCCGCCCCGATCTGCTGGTGCTCCTCAGACCCGACCTGCAGCCCCACAATGCAGGTCCAGGCCTCTCCCCCACGTGTTCAGAACTGGGCGACGCGTGTAAACAGCCCATGGGGCCCAGCACACAACGGGCCCTTCGCCTTTGGGATTTTTCGCAGCAGACGCTCACACGCAGGGCAGGTTGAGTCACAGTTTGTGCCCGTGACGCTCTCGGTGCTTCGCCCACCCCAGGCAAATAAACTATCCCAGGCCTTAAAAACTGAGATCAGCTTCCCCGAGGGTGGCACTGCCCCTGCCAGTCGTGTCCCGGCTCCCTGGCAGGCGAACTGGGTGAT